TAAGTTTTACTAATGTTAAAAGCTTTACTTCCAGCAATTATGAAACTGTTTGCATATCTATTAGTTCTACACCTAGGTATTGATAGTTTGTTATTACCACCCCGAAGGGAATATTCTGTATCCCGATTGGAAGGGACAAGGGAATGTAACTTGTGTGCTTCGTCAGTACGCATTCGTTCAAAAAATCTCTTACAGATCGTGTCTCTCCGTATGAATAATGACACCACACCGGCGCGGTCCATTGCAATATCATAACAACAATCTGGGAAGATTATTCGTAGAGCTCTGCGTTGGATCCTTTCGATCTGATCACTTAAATACTGGGGCAAACTGTGATGCCATACTTCGCACGAGTATTCTAAAATTGGTGTAATGCATGTATTAAACACTCGCACTAACTTGCTTGATGGAATGGAAGATCTCTTTAATAATCGTAGAGCATGCAGACGCTTCGCAGCTTTCTTACAAGTGAAATCAACATGAAGAACCCACTTGAGGTCTTCGGAGATGATTAATCCGAGTAATTTAGCATGTGACACGACAGAAATGTTACAGCCATCAATGCTAAGTGGAGGAAGTGCTTCGGTATCATAAGTCGAAAAACATACTCGAATTTCCTTGGTTTTAGTGGGATTCAATTTCATATTGTTTTTGGCCACCCAACTGGAGCATTCACTAATTTGTGCCGGTAAGACTGAAGCAGACGATTGGGCGCTCGTAATTATTTCCCATAAAGTAGTGTCGTCTACGAATTTAACAGAATCGTCAGAGACCTTCAGGTCGTTCACCATAATTAAAAAGAGCAAGGGGCCAAGTTTCGTTCCCTGTGGGACACCACCATTGATTGGCCTCCAACAAGAATAATAGACCACTTCGGCGGTTTTGTGTTAAGTGGAAACACGTGCTCGCGAAATCGGAAACTCGGACAAACATGGCGGAGCGTAATACAAATGCTATTCAAAATACACAAATGTTTCGGCCATTTAATAGATAAATTTGCTCGCTTTCGTCACGAAACAATAGTCAAAATGGAAATTATGTCACGAGAAGAGAAATTCAAAGCCACGAAGCTGCCGGAGCTCAAAGCGCAATTACAAAATCGAGGAATTACCGTTAACAGTTTACCTCAAACCCGGTGTCAAGCGAAATTCCTGACCTCTGCGAAATACCTGACCTAGCGTGACGGGTCAGAAATTTCGCGCGTACAGGCGCGAAATACATGACGCTTGCTAAATTCTAAGTCGGCCAAAACTGTTTTTTAGAGTTTAGATAAAATAATCATGATGTTAATTTCTAATACTTCGTTAAATATTTCAAATCGACATCGCTAAGTTTCAATCACAAACACTTTATAAAATTTCAAAGCGAATTGTGTGGTCGTGACCGCGAAATACACGATGTTTGCTAAATACGGTCCGTCGAAACGATTTTTAAGTCCATATGCGATGTTACCAAATGTTTCTAATATAGACATCGCTAAGTCTAAACGGCCAACTCACGAACTCATTGTTGCTGCATACTAAATAGTGAGAAGGTCAAACGCGAAACGATTTTTAGTGCTTTAATATAGTATAGTAATGCATATAGCATAACCTTTGAAACTGCTGGAGTCTATTTTATATCACTAAGATAGATCGCTTTTCGAGTGATTTTTTCCATATCTGCGATTCAAGCTTTATTATCGCTGAACGCTAACGTTCACAGTCAGTGGTATAGTGTCAATTCAGTTGATCAATTGTAGAATTGATGTTGGAAAATTTATGTATAGATAAAATGACTTTATAAATACACGTGTTGTCTGTTGAATTGCGAAATTTATGAGCCAAAGTCATTCATGCGCATCGTCTGCGCATGGGCAGTTCTACAATAGTCAGATATTTCGCAAGTCAGGAATTTCGCGTCACACCGGACTCGTAGCTATTGCTTGTGCCGTCGCAGAAATGAGTTTTTCATTGCTTTTTCAAGTCAGTGAAGCCGAAGACCACTTAAATCTAAGCCGTCGTTTGAAAGTTCACGATATTCAGCTGCCTGATAGTGCCTGATCCTTTTAAAATGAATGTTTTAAACGATTTTAAGTATTCTCGCGCGTTGTTTGATATATTTAATCATCTCATATATCACTCGTCAAAATATGACAAGCAAAGTCTAGCAGCAGCTTATAAATATTTTTTACATATCGTGCGCATTTTAATGTTGCGTTTTATATGCTAGACGGAGATTAGGATTATTATTCTCCGTACTAATTATTGCTGAGACAGGGTCTAGATGTTCTTCAGTAGGACCATTTTGTCCAACAAAATGAAGGCTATAAATGAAGGCTATACAAAAATATAACTATCCTTCGTGGTATCTAGCCCCAGGAAAATGTAAAAAAAAGATATCAGCTCCATTACTGTCTCGTTTTAACCGATCAGGATACCCTGAATCGCTTTTACAAGTACCCCAAGCGCATGCACTTTTTAGTCGTAACCGTTCTATATTGTTCTATACAGTATATATACGCTCTGCCATGTTTGATATATTTTTTTACATTTCCTTGGGGCTAAATACCACAGCGCAAAAACGAGAGGGCTGGATACGTGCATGTCACAGAGGCGATAAATTTATATGTACGAAGGATAGTTATATTTTTGTATAGCCTTCATTTATAGCCTTCATTTTGTTGGACAAAATGGTCCTACTGAAGAACATCTAGACCCTGTATCAGCAATAACTAGTACGGAGAATAATAATCCTAATCTCCGTCTAGCATATAAAACGCAACATTAAAATGCGTACGATATGTAAAAGATATTTATAAGCTGCTGCTAGACTTTGCTTGTCATATTCTGACGAGTGATATATGAGATGATTAATATTAAATATATCAAACAACGCGCGAGAATGCTTAAAATCGTTTAAAACATTCATTTTAAAAGGATAAGGCAGCTGAATATCGTGAACTTTCAAACGACGGCTTAGATTTAAGTGGTCTTCGGCTTCACTGACTTGAAAAAGCAATGAAAAACTCATTTCTTCGACGGCACAAGCAATAGCTACGAGTCCGGGTTTGAGGTAAACTGTTAACGGTAATTCCTCGATTTTGTAAGTGCACTTTCAGTTCCGGCAGCTTCGTGGCTTTGAATTTCTCTTCTCGTGACATAATTTCCATTTCGACTATTGTTTCGTGACGAAAGCGCGCGAATTTATCTATTAAATGGCCGAAACATTTGTGTATTTTGAATAGCATTTGTATTACGCTCCGCCATATTTGTCCGAGTTTCCGATTTCGCGAGCACGTGTTTCCACTTAACACAAAACCGCCGAAGTGGTCTATTCGGTTTCTGTGTGCCGATTCTTGTGCGCTGTCTTCTGTCTGTGAGAAAGTTGGCGATCCAATTAATAAGGACAGGATGTATGCCCATATTTATCAATTTTTGAAGTAAGATGTTGAAGTCAATCCGGTCAAATGCTTTTGAGAAGTCCAACGTACAGGTTCGAAGACAGGTGCCGGGTGTGTCCATGGCTTCGTACCATTTATGGAACATATATAATAATGCCATTGTGGAACTTGATCTTTTAAGCGCACCAAATTGGAGGTTATCAATTTGACCGCTAACTGACCGTAAAAGCCAGCTATGAGGGAATGACTCTAAGATCTTGCTCACAATTGGCGTAAGAGAGATCGGTCTAAAATCGGAATCAATATCCAGGGCAGGTGACGATTTTGGCACAGGAGACACATTGGCGGATTTCCACAACAACGGGATGTTTCCTTCTTGGATAGAAGTATTGAAAATGGATGCCAATGGGCGGGATAGGGAGGCAGAGTTCTCGCGGAGGAGCCAAGGAGAAATCTCATCTGGACCTGCCGCCGAATAAGATTTTACAGATATTAGTGCTTTCTCAACTTCATCAATGGAGATATAGACTGCAATGGGTGTCCATGAGAATGGGGGAAGGGTGCTTCCTACAGCAACAAACTTGTCGTTAAACAAGTTAGCTAGGGCGGAGCCTGAGTAGGATTGATCATTATATAAGATAGTGGAAACGTTTTTCGTTGCACCAAGGCCAGCTATGTTTTTTATGTTGGACCACCACTTATGCGGATTTGATTCAAAACAGTCGGCGACATTGCTGTTGTAAAATCTTGAACGAGCTCTCTTACAAAGCATATTTACTTTGTTTTTGTAGAGATGGAACATGATATTGTTTCTGCTATTCCAAGCTGCTTGACGTTTGGAGATTAATCTTTTGATCTCAGATGTTACCCAGGGCTTATCGCTGCTATCCGATTTTATACGTTTCATTGGAAGGTACTGGTCGACAATGCCATTAACAATGAATGAAAAGTAATGAAACTTATCGTTGCAAGAGTCCATTCTATACAGGGGAGACCAGTTTATACTTGACAAAGCCTCGAAGACTAACTTCCGGTTAGGGGAACGCGTGTCTCTGACCATTCGGGTACTCCGGGAGTTCATACATTGCTTCAGCGGTTTTATCAACACTGAGTTATGGTCAGAGAAACCGACAGGTGGGAGAATCTCTGGAACGTTATAAAATTTGGACGCATTTGTAAATATTTTAAAAGTCTAAGATGTTGGATCCTCTTGTTGCATGCTTAACAACCTGTTTAAGGGAAAACGAGTTACATAGTTGACTGTGCCTAAATTGGTTAAAATCACCTGCAATGATGATAGCTGACGCAGGATAGGATGTTAATGCACTGTAGAGGGACTCAATAAGGTGTGTTAACAGGGCCCTATCGTCGCTTTTCGGTGGATGATAAATTGCGACTAAAATGATAGAATTAATTCCACGTGGTAGTCGACTTGGTTTTATTAGGAGCCATAAGGATTCAACTTCGGGATGTGAAAGTTCCTTAAGATGAACCACAGGCATACGATCGTTTACATAACCACAAACACCTCCACCTCTTCTACCATCTCGTCGGTCACGCCTGAATATGGAGAAGCCATTTAGATTTATCGCTGAATTGCTGACATTAGGAGAAAGCCAAGTTTCCGTAATGACCACAATATCCAAAGAAAGTGAAGAAACAGTTCCAGACAGCTCATCGATTTTATTGACTAATGACCTCGAGTTGGATAGGAACAAGGAGGGTAAGAAGGTATACGAGGCATTGCTGCTTAATTTAATTTTCCGGAGGTTACGACGATTACTGAGTATGCCAGAATTATAATTGCGGATAGATCGGTGATCACGTGCAGTAATCCGAACGGGGATCATGGTGGAAGGTACCTTGTGGGAATCTGTAAGGTTTTTAGGAGGACATAAGGGGATATTTGAGGCCCTCGAAATGCAAGGGTGTTATCATTTTCCGATAAATTATTCAAGTATTCTCTGGTTTTGTTAATTTCTGTAAACTCATGTTCGAAGGGTTCTATTGGGTAATTGGACTCGGTCAGTTCTGCTTCACATGATGTAGAACTCTTGGGTGGTTCTATACTAGTGTTGATTTGTGAGTCATTTGACTTACAAATTTTAGATAAACTGCCCATTCCATAGATTGTTTTTCCAAGACAATACGCGGGGGTCGATAATTGGCAGGGCTCTTTCGAAAAGGAGCAATTTTACGTTGAGGTTGAGTAAAATCCCTTAGACTTGAGGTTTTAGATTGACATATACCGTGTTTGTGGCCATTCGGAATTATTCCTACAGATTTCCTCGATCTGATGGATAATAGAGGACTATTTGATTCCAAAGATTGACACGGAAACATATTAACGTGCTGCGGTAATAATGATGTTTCCTGATTTGAAGTTTTAGATTGATATATACCGTGTCTGTGGCCGTTTGGGATTTTTCCTAAAAGTTTCCTCGATCTGTTAGATAAAAGGGAACTATTTGATTCCAAAGATTGGCACGGAGTCATAACGTGCTGCGGTAATAATGATGTTTCATTTAGGTTATTTACTTGTTTACAATTAAAACCTTGAGTATCACACAGCGGTAATTTATTCAGGAACTCTTTATTGGCATGACTTGGTATTTGCAATTCGGGGGTTTGATCATGATTCTTTTTGTTAACATGCAACGAGGGAGTAATAGGCGCTTGGGGTGGAACAATAGGCGATTGTGGAGAGACAATAGGCACTTGGGGTATAACAATAGGTGATTGATTTGAGATAGCATCATAATCCTTTAAATATTTTTCCAATTTCATGTCCAAGGAATTAATTTTGCTTTTAAGTGCCTCAATTTCAGAGTTCTTTTCCTTCTCCATTAGACTTATTGTGGGTTCTGATTTCGTACTTTTACTTCCCTCCCCATCAAGCACGGATTCAAGATGCACAATGTTGTCATTACTAAAACATATGGCTTGCGTATTTGCCAGCGATTGTAGAGCATCTATTCTAGTTAATATAATTTCGAAATTGATTTTCATGTTATCAAACTCAGATAACAAGTCAACGCACAAACATTGACTTGGATCGATTATACTCATGATAGCTGGAGCAATGTATTTTTTAACAACACAGTCCTCAGCGATTTTCGAAATAGCGGCAGTTAGTGAAATTGGTCGTAACTGCTTACAAATGTCGCTAACGGGCTTAGTTTTTATGAGGGGCACAATGTTGGCAAGCTTCCAAGATTTAGGTAGTTGTTGTTCGGCATAGCTGCTGTTTAGCACAGCGCATACTGGCTGTGCAAGGATTTCAGCATATTCCTTAAGAGCCCAATTGGGAATTTCGTCAGGACCTGACGCCTTTCCACGATTAATTGCTTTCAATAAATGAAAGACTTCCAATTCGTTCACTTGAAAAGAGGAATAATTATCAAAGGGGGGAAGGGTTGACAGTGGATTGAAGGAGTTCATGGGCTCCAAAAAGGCGTTATTAATTAAATTCGCAATGTCAGGACGTTGCATATTCTCGATATCGTCTAAATGAAGTTGACTACATAGGTCATCGGAGCCGGTTGTAGGTACCATACCAGCAATCTGCTTCACCTCCTTCCACCATCTCTTCGGTTTGGTCGATTTAAGATTCTTTACTTTTGAAGAGTAGAATTTCGCCCGGCATGTCTTTCGCTCGCGGTTAACCCGATTCCGGTAATACTTGAACTGAAAGGTATTTCCACTGCAGAAGGCAGCTTGACGCTTCCTTATAAGCTCTTTAAATTCTGCAGTAATCCATGGAGGATCGTGTACATGCAAAGCCGTTTTCTTTATTGGCATAATGGTGCTAATACCGAGACGTACTAACTCTTCGAAATACTGGAGTTTCATTTCGCATGTGTCAAAATGATTCAGAGAGGACCAATCGATAGATGTAAGGTATCTTCCAAGCTCATGCCTTTTACTAGATCGTAAATCTCTACTAGAGATAATTCTTCTACTGCATGACTTGCTTTCTCTTTTGCAAGGATTGACAATCACAACATTATGATCTGAAAGACCAAATGGCGGAAATGTTTCGACAGAGTTCTTATCATAAAACGAATGTAAGTTGGTTATTATTAGATCCAAAGTCTGGTTGGCCCTTGTGGAAACGTTAACAATCTGTTTGCAACTGAACTGTGTTAATATCAGATTGCATTTTAACCGATTAAAGTCGCCTGCAAGAATAAACCCACAGCCAGGATACGTGCTTTCAATAGTAATCAGTGATGTGGAGAGAAATTGGAGCATTTCATCATCATTAGCATTAGGTGGATGGTAAACGACACCAAGTATCAAGCAGGAAAACCCGCGGGGAAGTCTACTTGGACGAAAATAGACCCACAGAACTTCGTAATCTGTATGGTGGAGATGATTCAGAGGCTTATAAAATATCGTGTTCCTGATGTACACCCCAACCCCTCCGTGGGAGCCCACACTGCGGTTTTTATGAACAAAATTGTAACCCGGAATATCGAGGCAGGAATCTGAGATACGGTCGTTTAGCCATGTTTCCGTTATACAGGCAAGGTCAGGACTCTTTTCTGTGACAAAACAACTCACTTCATCAATTTTGGGAGCTAATGACATCGTATTTGTCAATAGTAGTTTCGGAACGTAGAAATAGTCATTAGCATTGGAAATAACAGTTTTATTAATGTTAATTTGAATAATATTATTTAAATTACGTTGTCCGCGATGAATTGAAGTAGGGCGACCTGATAGGGAAAAATCATGTTCTAGTAATAATACTGGAAAAACCTCATATTGGCTTTCCATTTGTCCTTGCGAAAACCCTCCTCAGTCTGGTTGATTCTAGCGCCATGTTTATTTCGTCGCCACGTCGATTTCTTTGATGGTGTTCTATGGGTAACGCGAGTCGGGATGGCATAACAGTTAGTTAATTCATGTTGTGATGGTTTGTGTCGTTTTGCATTGTCGTTGCTGTTCTTGTCCGAAATTTCCGTATATTTTGGGAATTGACTTACTTGACCAGCATGTTTTTGAGGCTCCTGCTTATCAACTTGTTTTGGTGGTATTCGAGGGTTAGGTGGTAATTCTTGAGGTGTGATATATTTATTAGTACAGGTATTCTCTTGAGTCGAAGGCGCGTGTTGATTTCTAATGCAATTAGTGCTGAGTGTCTCCATAATAATGCAGGAATGATCATGACAAAGCCCATTGTCAGATTCTTTACTCTTTTGTTCTAACTCGTGTAGGTTTAGTTTCGGCAACCGTTAGCTCAGATTCATGTTGCTTGGTTTTATCTTGTTCATCATGCAGTTCCCTTTCAAGACGCTTTAATTGAGTATCATAACAAACATTGGAAAGGCACTCAGACCGCAAATTTGCCAGAGATTGTAATGCATCATTACGACTCATTACAATGTCATCATTTAGATTCGATCCTATTATGTTATTGTTTTCCTCATGACGTTTTTGCAATCCGGAGGCGTTTTGGTTGTCCAAATTTGAAAATTCGACAGCTTTAGGCGAATATTGAATCGTATGTTGGTTTTTCAACAACTGAAACTCTGCCCTAAATACATCGAACTGTTGGTTAATAATGTTTAATTTACCAACTACTTTATCAAGGCAATCTTCCACGTTTTTAATGCTATGTTTGTTATCACGAATATCTTTCTCAGTAATTGTTACATCGAGTTTAACGCCCTCCAATTCAACAAGCATTTCATCGCTTGTGGAAGGGAATCCGCAATAGTTGTCGCTTTTGCTTGACTGTACAGGATCGAAATCATTACATAACATTGTACACAACTTAGCTGTTATCAGGTTCCTGTCTCTGCCTTCTATTTCCAACACTTTCTTGGATTTGCGCCAGGATATTGAGCTATAACCATCACTGTATTTTTTTTATCATTGCCTGGTGAAGTCCATACGCCGACAAAATCAACATTCGTGCTTACAAAAAGCTTCAATTTCTCCAAATCACCCGTCCAGCAAAGCCGTAGTTCTTGCATTTCGATTACAATACTTGCCACAAAGTATTCCAGCAAATAACTCAAAAAAAATTTAAGAATAATGTGGAGCGATATATTTATCGAAGAGATAGGAAGAATAACCAGCACATGTGTCCACAAGCAGACAGAAGGGAGTAATCAACAAATGAAATGATCATGCCCTCTTTTATTCCCTCCTGTCTGGTGGACACATCTCTTATTTCTTGCTAATGGCCTAATACTTTTTCTGCATTCTCACATTCTGCCTTAGTGAAAACATAGCTACATGTCACTGCACTGTGCTTATATCCAGATAGTGGTGCATTGGCTTTTAAACAAAGTGCACCTTTATGCAAGGTAATATGGTAGAGCAAATACATGCATGATAACAAGTCAGAAAAAGCCAATGTCAGTCTTGTACCGTCATCCTGGCTTAGTTAAACAGTCATCCTGGCTTAGTTAAAGATGCGGTACAGTCCGATCTGCGCATGTGCACAAAGGAGCCCTCTTTTTACTTACAAACTGTTTATTTAGGTTTTTATTTCATTTTATGTTCTTGCAAAGCTTGATTGTTGTGTCTTGATAATTTATTATACTCCAGAATCATGAAAATATAAATAGTTGTCGAATAAAATTCAATATTTTGGATACCGAAATGTAAACAAAGCCTTTGTTTAAATACGGACTGTACCACATCTTTAAACCATGGCCACCTAGGTAAACTGCACTTATATCCAGATAGTGGATATTTAACCATTATGCGAAATGCTGCCCGCTTTACTCTTTTCCTCTTAATACCTTGCATTAATTGTCATGGGAAAAGTCTTGGATTAAATGAGGTGCACCTTAATTGAAGCAGGCTAATAGGGTATTATTAGCAAATCCATGCTAAGAAGGGACTGGTCATAATTTAGCAGGAGGGGTGGGGAGGTGGAAACAGTGGGGGGGGGGTCACATATTTTATAGCAAGGGAAAAGGGGGGTTCATAAAATATTAGACAGTTTATGAAGGCCGGGGTGGGGTATGCTGTTTTAGTTCAATTAATTGTTTATACACGCCTTCTTACATTTTGTTTGAGTTGCAAATGTTGAAAAAATTGATTCTTTTAAATTAAACTTAAAATGAAAAGGTAGGTATGTACATCTTTACCGACACAAACAAGAGAGGGGGTGGCATTATTTTTCCGGGTTATGACAATGCAGGGTGACAAAATATCATGCCTTCAAATTTTGAATTACACCTCCCCACCCCCCTGCTAAATTATGACCAGTCCCTTAGAAAATCTATTCCCCCAAATTTATTATATACAATATCCAACAAACACAACCAATGTCAATCTTACCGAGAAATGGTCAGAGCTACACTCAGCTATTACTTTTTGTCTATGCAGCAAGATTCTTTATGAGTTGTACAAGTCCAAGAAGAAAACACAAGCTGAAAATACTGCCCAATCAGGCCCCTCAAATGTGTCTGCCTTGAAGGAATTAATCAAGCAAGTGTGCAACCTAAGTGGACTTCATGGTATTATTATAAATAATAGAATAATTAATGAATTTAAAACTACATTTTGGAGATTACAAGAAACCATGGCTAAGGCAGCTGCTAAAGGAGGAAGTTCAGCAAAAAGGCTGTTATCAACATGGACAACTGGCAGATATTCCACATGGAACTTTAAAATATACTATAGTGAGCTGGAACCAGAAAGGTTAAAGCAGGATAATCTTAGATTGAGTGCCGAGAAAAGGAAGCTTGAGGAAGATATGGATGTGATGAGGTGCAAGAAGGCAAAAATTGAAAGGAAGTTGAAACAAGCTTTGGCCAAAAATAAAAGAATTGCTGACCCTTACAAGAACAAATTTAAGGCATTAACAAAGAAATTGATGCGGCAACAAAGAAAGCAGAAGACATCAAGAGGTCTATCGAAATCAAAAACCTTTTTTGAGTACAGCAAACGGCAACAATCTAGAATCCGAAAGCAAATGGTTGATGACTGTGAAACTTCTTTGGCATTCATAGGTCTTCGTAATTTTGTAGCAACAAAGGTTGAGGTTTACAACGATAATAACCAGGAATATGAAACAATCAATTTGGTAAATGATGAAGAAATTAGCACCTCGTGAAACACTCACTAATGAGGAACTTGATGACATCAATTTGTTATTGTACACAAAAGAACGGTTTAATCTCTCAAACGATGCATATCATGAACTGTCCATGACATGCAAGGAGCTACCCAGGTCATGGAAAGTCCAGGAAAGGATCAAGGCATTAAACGGTAAATGGAAATTCAGCGAGACCCCTGGAAATACTTTTGGCATTCAACAAAGCATTAAAGAGAGATTGGAAGTTAGAGTGCAAAATATGATAAAAAACAGTCCTGCTACCGAGTCGTTCCGACAGAATAAGAAAATTCGAGTGAAGCTATCAGGAGATGGGACCAATGTTGGAAAAAGTCTTCATGTTGTGAATGTTACTTTTACAATTTTGGACCAAGGCTCAAAGGCAATGTCAGCTGATGAAACCATATAATTGCTATCATCAAAGAGCCAGAAAACTACGAGAAACTTCGAATTCTTGAAGCGCTGTCAGATATCCGTAGAAAGGTGGAATCACTTAATTGCATGAAGGTTGGGGACGAATACTTCAATATTGAATGGTTTTTAGGTGGTGATTGGAAATTCCTGGCATGCGTTTGTGGCCTTGGTGCAGCAATCTCCACTCATCCTTGGATCTGGTGCAAATGTCCTTTGTACGACAAGTATGATGGAACCAAAGAATGGTCAATGGTAGATACCAATAAAGGTGCCCGGAAATCAAGGAAATGAAGAAAAATCTAAGCAAGGATCCCGGGGGGAAAAGTGCAATGTAAAACATTCCCCTTTATTCCCTACAATACCCCTTGATCATGTTGTCATCGATAGCCTACACCTTTTCCTACGCATAGCAGATAATTTAATCAATTTACTAATTTTAGAGTTTCGGAGACTAGATGCTATTGACAAAAAGAAAACTTTCAATGATGGCTTTGAGCGATCCAAATACACCCATATGGCTGGATGGGAATCTTATTTAAATGATCATCTAAAAATACCTTTTAACTGGTATGTCTGCAAAGATTCCAAGAAGTTGAAATGGCGTGACCTTACTGGCCCAGAGAAGGTAAAATTGTTTAGAAATGTTAACATTTGTAACCTCTTACCAAACCACCCTAAGAAAGATGAGATCTCTGAGTTGTGGAGCAAGTTTTGGGAGATCACAGAGTCGTTGAGTGCAGCTAGTTCTGAAATTAACAAAGAACAGTTTCACCAGAAATCCAAATCATTTCTGGATTTATTCTTAAACCTTTATCAAACAAAACATGTTACTCCATACATGCATGCATTCACATGGCATGTACCTGAATTTATTGAACTATATGGTACAATTTCAATCTTTACGCAACAAGGGCTGGAAAAGCTGAACGACAAGACAACAAAAGATTTTTTTCGGTCTACAAATCAACGAGGGCTGGAATCTTTAAAACAACTTGTACTAAAGAGAAATCGAGTTGAGCATTTGGCAGATATTGGTTGCCAGCGAGAGAAAAGAGTTGTCAACTGCAGGAATTGTAATAAAGCAGGTCATATCATCAAAACATGCACAAATGCCTGCAGCACATGTGGGGTTAAGCCATGTTGTTCTCCAACCCATTTAATCAAATCTAGTGGCAAATGGATAAAAACATGCAGTTAAACACATAAGGGATAACAAAGACATATTTTTTCAAATTAGCAAGATATGGTAATTGCTAGGGTAATAACATTGTTAGGGTAAACTTTTAATGCACGGTTATTGTATTCCCACTTCTAATGCAGGG